TAGGGTATAAAAAGCAAAGAAAAAGAAAACCGAACCCACCTAATTTTGACGACCCCCGCAAACGTATGAAGGCCCACGATCTGCGAATCTGCACTTGGAATGTACGCACGTTGTAAAGAAGAGGCGCAGTTTTCGCTTTGGCGGATGTATTCAAGAAGTACAAAGCCAATATTATTGCCTTACAGGAAATGCGATGGAAAGGGACTGTCGTAAGTAATTCAGATGATTACGCCCTGTATTATAGCTGCCATGAAACGAGACGCGAATTTGGCTGCGGATTTATGGTTAATAGGAGAATAAAAGACATCGTCTCCAGATTCACTCCAATAGATGAGCGAATTGCTATATTCCGTATAAAAGCGAAGTAGTTCTATATCAGTCTTATTTGCGACCATGCTCCGACGGAAGGCAAAGATGAAGAGACCAAAGACATTTTTACGAGCGCCTAGAAACAGCATTTGACCGTTGCCCTGGCCATGACATTAAAATCCTGTTAGGATATTTTACTGCAAAAATCTGAAGGGAAACTATTTTTGGTCCCACCGTCAGAAAATTCTTTCAGAAGAAAGAACAGGAAAAACCTGTAGAGATGAAGAAGATGAATACAGACAGTGTGCTGATGATCTTAAAGGAGCATTTTGAAAAACTTCTGGTATCAAATAGTAGCGGTGAAGAGGATACCCCAGAACCGATAATAGATGACGGTATAGAGTGTATACCACCTAGCCAAGATGAGGTCAGAATTACAATCAATCGGCTGCAGAATAATAAAGCTGCAGGTGCCGATTTTTTATAAGCCGAAGTATTCACGACTGGTGGTCAGATGTTGGTAAGGAGCATGCACCAGCTGATTAGTACAATTTGGCTAGGGGAATGCACGCCCAATGATTGGAACCTCAGCATCCTGTGTCCCATGCACAGAAAAGGAGACAAGACGATAGGTGCCAACTATAGAGGAATAAGTTTCCTTTCCATCGCATATAAAGTGCTATCCAGCGTACTGTGTAAACGACTGAAGCCAATGCTCAATGACATTATTGGACCATACCAATGTGGCTTCAGACCTGGCAAATCCACCACTGACCAGATTTTCACTCTGCGCCAGATCCTGAAAAAACCCACAAAAACACATCGACACATTTCACCTATTCGTCGACTATAAAGCCGCATTCGACAGCCCTATCCGTTCAGAGGTGTTTAAAGACATGTCTGCATTTGGCATTCCTGTAAAATAATGCGGCTATGTAGAATAACTTTAATTGGCGCAAGATCAGCAGTTAAAGTCGGAAATGACTTCTTGGATCCCTTTAATACCAAACGAGGATTCAGTCAAGGTGACAGTTAGTCGTCTGACCTTTTTAACATCCTGCTGGAAAAGGTCATACGAGAGGCAAGGGTGAACAGAAGTGGCACTCAGTACACCAAACAACACATGTTACTCGCCTACGCCGTTGACTTCGACATAATGGGACGAACATTGAGAGTGGTAACAGCCACATTTGAACAAATTGAGAAGGAGTCTGCCATAGTGGGTCTGGTATTAAACGGCGAGAAGACCAAGCTGATGGTATCAACGCGCAAGACGTTTTATGTGAGTTTCTGCCTATTGGCCCACCTCACAGTGGCTGAGCCACAGGCGGAGATCATGCAGAAAGCACACTCTCCCCTTTGGTGAGGGGCGAAACCACAACCCCCGCGAAGCTCCCCACGGGGCCACACCAACTGTCAGGCTGGATCGACAGATCCAGGGGCAACTGACTCAGGCTCGAGACCGGAGCTTCTCCCAGTTCGACGCAAGTCCTGGCTGCTATCCCAAAACAAAATAAGCGACATGATCAAAACCGCAAGTGGCAAGGTAAAACCGAGCCACAGCCAGTGACAACGCCAAACAAATACACAAAACACATACAATTAACATGCTGTCCTCACGGACTGCACAAAGGACCCAGAGGACCGTGTAGCATACAACTGAGCTAGAAATGGTAGGTGTAATTTTAAGGAGTAACTATTATGGTAATGCACGCTTTGCATCCGGCCTTATATCTCGTCGGAGGGGGGATTCGAAATACCAAAGTTTCCTAAAATACCATCGAGCTACATAAAATACATTTATTTGCGTGCATGTTTGTTTAAAAAAACCAGAAAGAGATAACAAATAAGAAAAAAAAGGAAAAGGAAAGAAGACAGAAGAATATCTCTCTCACACTAAGAGTTTGCAGAGAAAGGTAGGAAATAGCTAAAAAGGAAACGGATATCTTTCAAAATGTTGCATTGCAACTTGATGTTATGTTGCATGATGTGCCCTCCCAACCTGGTTGCAACAACCTAATGTCCCTGACAGAGATAAGTATGTACTGCGTTGCAACCCCTACATTGACAACAATGAACCTTGTCTAAATAAGAGAAATCAAACAGATGTTATTGATCTTCTATTCAATATACATGTTCTTAATTTTATTTAAATTAAATTCAAATGTAAGAGAAATTTGGCTTGACATTCTCAATAAATTTACATAGCTTCTCTTCAATTTTTAAATTATTAATATTACTAAACATAAATGTAATCTTAAATCAATTAAAAGAAACAAATGAAAAAAAAATAAATAAACCCAAATTTAAAGTATTTCAAATGATTAATAGCATGATCAATTTGCAATACAGAAAAAAATAATAAAAAAAATAAATAAAATTAAATCAAATAATGAAAAAAAATCATCTTAAAACATCTCTGTAATGTTCATCACATCACTCACTGTTTCAACAACAACAATAAAATAAAATATTTGTACCAAAAAAATCAATTTATGCATATTACAACAACATTAATAACAAAACGAATAATAGTGGTGACCATATTCAAAAATAAATAAATACAATAATATTAGTTGAACAAAATTAAATTATTTCAATTAAAATTTAATTTTGTGTATAATTTATTCAATTTATAATTTTATTTAATTTTACTTTTTTTATAATATCATTTGTTTTTTTATTTAAACATTTAGTTAACAGATTAAATATTTCATTATTTCAATGCATCAACAATTATCATAAATCTGGTCACCATTATTACAGTTTTATTATTTCTCTTTATCACCATTCTTCGTTTTATAAAATTTACAAAAACAAAACAACAAAGAGTTCATTGACTTACGTACGCTCTTGTGATTCCCTCGTTGAAAGTATACTTTCTCAGAGTCTGGTATGATGCTGCTGAATGCTGGTTTGAAGATTAAGAGATGTAAATGTTGTGTTGTGTTGTATACAAAAGTTTGATGTAAAGATTAAGTTGTGTATGAATCAAACATGTTGCGTCGGTGAGCTACAGAGATGTTGCGATCAGCCAACAGTGTAACAGTGGAGAGTTTGCAGTTGGCGCAAGGGATATACCTACACACACAACATACATATTCAAATGGAATGCACAATGATCATTAGCTTAGCAAAAGTAGAATTTTTTTAAAATGTAAATATGTATAATGTGTGTATAGCTTTATCACTGGCTCCAACGGCAAATTACACTGATTGTTTTGTTATTGTTGTAATTTCACTTGTTTCTTTTTTCACAATTTTTTAAGCAAATTCCAAGCAAAATAAATCGAAAAAAATGTATACCAAAAACAAATAGAAGAATATTATGTTCACTTAGGAATGATAAAATTTTAAATTCTAATTAATTTTTTTATCCATAGATTTAGGTATATGATATTTAAATAATTATTTTTTTAGGGAAAAAATAAGTTTTTTTTTTTTTGTTTTTTTTTCTGAACTGCTAGTTTTTTCCTTAATATTATGTAGTGTTTTCGCACTTTTTTTGTAATTTAAAGTTTTTCAACTATCTTAGTCTCACTCTGACACTGTAAAAAATCAATTTGATGTTTTTTTAGAGCCTTTTTATTGCTTTGGTTTCACTTAGGCACCATAATAACCATATTTAGTGGCTTCACCCTGCATTTAGGACAGATATAATAAGGTTTTTAGCACTTTTCCTTATGAATTTCGTATGGCAGATATCTATCACTCCAAAACACTAAACGCACAGCACTCCGCAAGAAGGTTTCACGCCCTTTTCTCGATCTGAATGTCACGGTTGTTGATGCATACTGATCTGTATGTTGTATCACAAAATTGGAGTATGCGGTCGAAGACAAAGCAGTGTATGAAAATAACAAATTGAGTGATATTAATGCTGGAGACCTGGCAAAGCAACAACAAATTATGAACATTAGCAACTTGCATATAAGGAACAAGCAGAAAGTAAATGTTAAACATTTAATGCAACAACAATTATTACCTCTAGAATTCTTTTTCAAAATCGAAGAAACCAACGAAAAGAAAAATGAATTTTGGCGACGGTAAATTCTGAGCTGCTTGTGTTGTTACATATGCATGAAGAAATACAAGGGATTTCTTTTAATTGATGTATGCACTGCGGATAAAAATAAATGAAAACGAATAATGGGAAGATCGCCTAAATAAAAAAAAAATCGCCAGATATAGTAATCATTTACTTACTGAACATTAAATAATTAAACGATGCAATTTATTTTTTCCTTTGCAAAAAAAAAAAAACAAGTTTTGCCTTAAAAAAAAACTGGCAATATTTTTCCCAAATAAATTGTAATTAATTCTCAAGGCCAAGAAGATGTTAATTTAAGAGTTACTGGTAACAAAATGGACGAAACATATCTTTCGTTGGTAAGATGAAACCTCATGAAAAGTTGAAACCATCGGACTTTCCAATGCTTAATAAATATGGCCAAAGTGAACATCAGAAAAACGTCAATAAACTGATAAATAGTATTTCAGTTTACAAATTTAAATGACAGGTAGAGGTCGCCTAATAATGAACGTTACAAAATAGAAGTTTAAAAAAAAAATGCAGAACAAAGATATTAGTATTATCTAGATTGCAAGCGCCTCTACATTCTCCCCACCCAAAATCAGAATTGGGGGTAAATTCATTTTCCACCAAAGCTGATCCCGCTTGCAATAAACTATTATTGTCTAATATCCTTCGCATGAAAAACACCTAAAAGCTTTCCCTGGAGATCTTCAAGCTCATAATTACTATTTCCCAGACGCTTCCGTACTCGAGCCTTGAGGAATGTAGGAGCCAATTTACTGTTGTAGCCATGAGCAAAGTCACTTTGCTTGAAGTTTCTGCGGAAAACTTCTTGGCCCACCTTATAGGTTACCTCTCTGGATCTGAGATTATAGGTCTTCTCGTTTCTAAGGAATTGTTTATGCATAACGTCTTTTGCTTTGCTGCCGACAATGGCTTGAGAGTCGTATTTATCAAAACATATTGTCCTATCTTCCAGTACCTGGAGCTGGCGTAAAAGCTGATAGGTTTTACCATTTGTAACCATATGCTGGCCAAAAGTCAAGTAATACGGGGATGTCCCTATAGCCGAATGAATAGTAGAGCGAAGTGCACAGCTGATATTGCTCAACAACAAATCCCAATCTTTTTGATCAGCAGAGACGTATGATTTAATTGCCGCCAATACTGATCGATTTACACGCTCAGACGCGTTTGCCTGAGGGGCGTGGATAGCAGTGAACAAATGATTAACACTATAACGGGCAAGAAACTGGCTGAATTGTTTTGATTTGAATTGAGATCCGTTATCAGACACTATTATTTCTGGCACCCCATACGTATGAAAAAGCTCCTCTTCCAAATATTTAACGACTATATCAGTTGAAAATTTCTTAACTGCCTTCAAAAATGGAAACTTTGTAAAGTGGTCCAATACAACGAAGATACCTATGTTTCCAGACTTCGACCTAGGATAAGGCCCCAAAAAATCTACGTAGATCTTTTGAAAAAATCTATGAGTTTCGGAAGTCCTACCCATAGGTGGACGAAGCGTTTGGTTAGGATGTTTACTAGCCTTACAAATTTCACAGCCATTAATATAATTTCGTACATCGACTACCATATTAGGCCAAAAATAGTACTTCCTCAACTTAAACAACGTTTTATTTATACCGCCATGAGCAGATAGAGAATCGTCATGAGCTCTTTTCAAAACTTCCGGTATCATTGTCTGCGGGATCCACAATTTCCAGGACAAATCGTCTTGCACCTGATCTCCTTTTGCATGTTCCGTGCGCCTATATATAAATCCGTCAATAACCTTTAAGTCAGGCACATTTTCAGACGATTTCTCTACTTTCTTTAACAATTCTTTGTAATCTTCGGATTGAAAATGCGCAGAACTCAAATCCACGAACATACCGCTACCTAATTCAGGACCTGGAGAGTTATCAATTTCATCAACAAACATGTCAGCTAACTCCAATGATGACAAATCTTCAGTATTGGTTCTAGAGAGAGCATCAGGGACTACGTTCTGACAACCTCGTCTATGCTGAATAGAAAATTTATATCCCTGAAGCTTCAAGGCCCACCGAGCTAACCGCGTGCTTAGGTCTGTTTGGGACATGAGCCACTTTAGTGATGCATGATCAGTGATCACAGTGAACTCATGTCCTTCCACATAAGCTCTAAACTTCTTAATACTTAGCATCGCTGCTAAGCATTCTTGTTCGGTCACCGAATAGTTACGTTGGGGTTGATTGAGTTTCTTTGACATAAAG